TTTTGTCTCCATGTGTGGGCGGCGATGATGTACAGCCCCCGATTCAGATTCCACGTAGGCCTCCTGCACGAGCACTGGCTGACGGAAAAGGCGAGGGGAACACCGCAGCAGGACTGGCCGGATGTCGCCCGCCCTCGGTGGGTGGTATCCAACCGCCACGCTGCGAGAGAAGTGGACGGGGCGGCGGGAGAGGGAGAGGGAGAGGGGGTGGGGGGATGCAGCGGGAGGTGGAAGTCTTTCGTTGGGAGCAGCCAGACGGTGCAGACGGTCCTGTTGGACTTGAAGGAGAAGGGGCCCACGGACCAGGATAGACAAGTGTTGTACGCCGACGTAACGAAGAAGCTCGGGCAAGCCGCGAGTATTTTGTCTGATCGCTTTTCACCGACAGTCGCCGTAGCCCTCGTGGACCAATTTCTGACGATGGTCAATGTGCAAGCAGGCGGGGTAGGAACTACAACGACGGGAGGGCGGGGGGCGGCTCTCTTCATGGCCAACCCTGGAACTGTTCGCCTGCCCGCTAGGACAAGTAATAAAAGACGACCTGGCGCTGCAGAAAGATACACAAGAGGGGGTAGCAAGAGAGCCGCGACTTCGGGGTCCCAACTCTAGTTTCGGTGTTGCATACTTTGGGGTACGTGAGTAGCGGTACGCGGCCCTAGGTTTACGACGTCACCGGGGCATATGCCTGAACGATGTTTTGTCCCCCCCCGGCGGCAGGTCAAGGCTCGGTGTGTTGTTTATTTTTCGCTTCGGCGTTTTTGCGCCGATCGCCGTCTGTGATGTTGTCGATTTTGTGTTTGTATGTCTATTTGGTTGTTGCGGTGTAGCGTTCGATGGGGCCATCTGGTTCCTGTCCTGTTTTTATTTCTTTTGTTCCATTTCCTTTTCTTTTCTTTCTTCCGACCCCCTTTTTTGCCGTGTTGGGGTCATATCCAGGTCCTTTCTTTTTTTGGTGGGGGTCAGTCTATCATCAAATCGCTGTTGGATATTGATTGTTCTGTTTTGTTTTTTTCTGCGTCTATCTGTGCTTGTCGACCTGTGTGCTCTGCGAAGAAAACCGTGTGAGCCGCGTCTCGAGTTTGTTGAGCGGGCCTGCGGTGTGCGAACTAAACGATGCCTACAGATTTTGACGGCCCCATGATGACTGACATCCATCACGGCAGCACCGTGCAGCAGGTTATATCTACCAAAAAAAGAATACTGCTGTATGTAGTTCACAAAATCTACAGCAACAATTGCTTGCAGCAGCAGAAACGCACAACAACAGCAGCACCACACGCGGATAGACACACACACAGAGAGAGACGAGCACTCCTCTAAGTACGGGGCGTTGTGTGTCGTCGTGTCCTCCTGTTCCTCTGAGGCCTAGCGTCTCCTGGGCATCCCGGGTGCGAAGGGTGGCCTTGGCGTGAAATATGTGCCAGTATGGCAGTATGGACTGTTGAGGCTGTTGCTGCAGACGAGAGCTCTGCTTCCGAAGACAACGGGCGTTAGATCCAGGCTCCGAGATAATATTGAATTTGAGAGGGAGAGAGGAGAACCTCTTCGGGGACACTCCGGGCGGTTTCCCGGGGTTTCGATCCGTCCGGATGTTTGGACTGTGGTTCTCTTTTATAATCCATGGATTGCAAATATTCGCGCCCGCCCTCTCAATAGGGGGCAACGCGTATCGGATTTGTAAAAGAAGGCGTACCCATGTTGCCGCAAAGTCACGTCCCCCCTTGCCTCGGGTTGGTCGGGCGCCACCGACATCTTTCACAGCACCGACGTATCTTTCTCTCCCCCTCTCTGTCTGATGGCAGAACCCAAGGATGATCCAGACGCGGCCCATTTCATGGACAAGGTAAAGCTTTCGAAAAGTGTTAATTGACCATCAGAAACACACCTCGTGTCTTCCAGAAACATGAGAGCCAAAGCGACACACACGCCGTGTAATCTGAACTCTGTCTTTTTCGGTCCCGTGGCTGTTGCTTCTCTCATCTGCAGATTGCAAACCATCTTGGGAACAGCTGCTTGGAAGAGGTGAGCCGCAAGTGGTAAATCGTGACGGTCGGGCCTGCCTCGATCGCATGAGGTAGAGAGACATGCAGTTATACTGTAGTACGGGATGCTCGCAATCTCGCACGTGGAAATACGGCTGCACTGCAGCAGTTACATGTACTGTATCTGTCCGCAATCTGGATTTATTTGTGTAGACCTGTAGTGTAGACACACGAGACTCCATTACACCCCCGCTTTGTCAAGTGAGCAAGACTACCACACATTATAACCACATCGACGCAATGCATTCCGTATGTAATATGTACATGCATTCACGAGACTGTGTTGGTTGCGGGTCCTCCGATTTTTCCAGCTATGCATATGTAGCTCGAGTCCTCCTCAAACCAAGTAGACTAGTAGTCTACCTTGAGAAAGTGCGATGGGAGACACTCCACGAGCACTGGTTTGTTGTGTACTTCTGTACTGCTGCTGTACCTGGTAGTCTAACTCTACTGTAACAAGAAAAACTTCGACTAGGTGAGACAGAGACATGAAATCAGTACGGGCCGTGCCGTTACTCATTCCAAATGATAGAATCAGGACGAGATCGACAAGGTTACTGTCGAGAGGGACGGGTGTCGTCCTCTACCAGCAATCATTAGGAAACATACAACCACAGAAAGACGACTCATTCGAGATAAGACCGCAGTTGAACAGCAATGCAAAAACTTGACGCATGCTACATGCGGTACACGAGATGCTGGGAAGGAGCGTGATGAGCGAAAGGTCATTTCGTCCTTTTCCATCTCTTGTAGACCAACCCGCCGGAGGACTACAGTAGTTATTGTCAAGATGTGAGATATACTTATAAAGGTGTGAGTATAGCATATCTCCGGCAAGTATGCGTCCATGGATGGACACGACAATCTGGAGGAGGCCCCCGAAGATATAACACTGTGCCTGCCATCTGGTTGCCTCTAGACTACATACATGGCTTCGGGTAGGAAAGAATCGTACAACGAATTCACGAATTACGAGTTCGTTTTTCTTCTCACAAGATGAACTGTCGAACAAGGTTTGAAGTTGGCAGCATGAGCACTGTGCCCTCTCGACCGAAT